CTCAGGGTGTCGTTGTCTTCTGTGTGAAATAAACAATGATTAAACCTCCTGTGATTGGCTCGTTGTTGTGGTTAGTAGTATCTCAGGCTGAGGAGGAGGGGCCTCATGACATCACAGGACAGGCTAGTTTGAAACTAATAAAGCTAACGTTAGCCTTTCTTATCTGAAGTTGAAATCAAAGTGGAGTCGGGAGCAGAGTGGGAAATCTTTATTCAGATCAAACAAAGTTGTTTCTTCATGATTCTAAAACCGAGCGTCTCGTTCCCCGATGACAAAACTAAAAAACAAGAATCAGAGCGACGGGACGACGAGCTACGACGACGAGCGATCAGAGAAACAGAATAAATAAAAACACTTTCAAACACGTTTTCTACAAACTCTCGTTACGTCTTCACCGTTCAGGTCATCGATGGCACACGCACACACGCACACACACACACGATGATAAAAACACGTGATTGTCCCCGCGCCTCTCGTCTGAACACGTGGCGGGTATAAAGCGGACAGAGTCTGAACGACAGAAACATCTAAAGAAGTCTTAGCTAACCTGTCAACACTCAGGCTGGAAAAAAACTTTATTTAAATCCCAAAGAATGAAAAAAAACCAAAGATGCCCGTTCAGATTCGTCTTCCATAAAAAGGTCGACAAGAGCGATGAGAGGAACGCTGAGGCCGAGAGGTTAAAACAGGATAACACGCTCTGTGTGTGTGTGTGTGTGTGTGTGTGTGTGTGTGTGTGTGTGTGTGGGGGGTCGAGAGTTCATCTGTTAGAAATGGCGTCTTCTCCGGCGTGTTCCAGCACTCACATCATCGTGGTCGTTTTCTGTACATGCTCCTCCTCCAGCGCTCACTTTAAGAGCTCACCAGAACATAAATCATCCTGTTGGAAAGAACAGACAAAAATCAGCCGCCTTGTTGAAGTTTATATGCTACATGCTAGCATTCATGCTAACAGTACATAAGGTTTGGTTTTAGGGTGAACCCGTTACGTATCTCAGTCCTCGACCAGAAACATGATGACCACGTTCTTACCCGTAAAGGTAGTAGAAGAAGGACAGGAGGTAGAACGCCAGTTTGCACCAGCCTTCTTTTTGACAGAACGCCAGGATGTCAGCGTTCATGATGGTCGTGGGGTCGTAGAGACCTGGACAGCTCATCACAGGTCTGCTCATATACCTGTAAGAAAACATGTTCAGCAAGTGTTTCTGTTTAAATGTGTTCTGCAGTTTTAAGGATCAAGTTCAGAATTTTAGCCGCCGCCATTTTGATTTTATGGAGTAAAAAGTGACCACAGAGCTTCAGTTAGCGATAGCTTGGTTAGCAAGATGCCAGACCTGTCGGGTGTGACCATATCAGTCCATGGACCCAGAGAAGACGTGGTGGAAGCTAACCACTTTAAATCGTTAGCTTAGTGCTCACCTCCACACATGGTAAGCTAGCAGCGGCAGGTTGAGACAGAGGGTGAGCCACTCGGCAGCGCAGAAGAACATCACGCAGAAGAAGAAGTGGATGAGATACTCTGGGAGGACGAGCTGTGAAGAAAGGAAACATGAGACGAGGTCAGAGGTCAGGAGTCTGTCAGCTGATCGACCGCTACCACGCGTGGAGTCACGCTGAACAACACGCCGAGTCCGAAGATGATCGCACTTTTACTAACGTCTGTGGAGTTACTGACGCTCGATCCAAAGAGGCGGAGCTCCAGCAGCTGGACGTGAGGAAACGTCCAGCGGTCTTTGGATCGAGCGTCAGTAAACTTTTTATCCAATGAGAAGCTGAGACGTCAAATAAGTAAATCTCCCTCCGTGAAACGATCGGACGAGTAAAGGTCTGACGTCATCAGGAAGTCAAACTCTTTCAGAATAAAATACTTCATCGCCGTGTTCACACAGAAAGACTTCAAAGTCTAAACCGAGAAAATAAAACAAAAAATACATATTCTGGAAGTTTATTCACTCAACCGTTTCCAGCCAATGTGACGGTTGGTTAGCTAACATTACGTTTAGCAGCTCAATGTGCTAATCGAGAGACATGCTATGCTACGTTAGCTTTACTGTGGCGGAGGGAGGGCTGCAGCTCAGGGCTGCCATCTTTTTAATAAAACATCAAGAATTTAGAATATGACACGTGTTCAAACATTAGTGAGCCAGCTTGGGGAGTTGCAGGTTTGTAGTGACCCTGTGTCTCTCCACCAATCAGAGAGCTACTGTCTGCAGAGATTACAGTTACTGAAGTCAAGAGGTCATGAAATGAGAGCGCCCTCTGCTGGATCAAACTGTAAACCACTTCAGACAGACTCAAGGTTTCCCCTGAATAAGAATTGACAGTCCACGATCTAACGGAGAAACGCGTGAAGGCGGCAATGTGTCCACAAAACCCGATGGGATCAAAGGCTTAAGAGTAAAACGATCTTTATGCATCATCATCTGTGGCGTGGGCCGCACTACACGAGTAAAGATAATGCATCATAACGGCGTGATGTCATGTTACTTGAAACATCGAGTTAGTTGAGATAAATTTAAACGTGTCACTCAGTCGATGGCGTGAGCGTCGACTTCAGTGTAACGTAAACAAACAGCTCGAACGCCGCAGGTCGTCTTTGACGGTGAAATTCTCTTCCTCCCGTCTGCGAGGACTGAACGCTCGACATTTAGAGTTAAACATGAAGATAACGTCACGATACTAAAGACTTCCAGCTCGAGATTAAATGATAACCACGTCAGATTCCCGATGAAAACGTGCGCTGTGTGAAGAAACAAACTCAGCGATGTGGATAGAAAGGCTTAATGTGCTGCTTCGATGTCATGCATCATCTGAGCACAAATAGTAAAGGGAAGCCCATCGACAACTCGCTCTGCAGAAAACTCATGGACGTGTTCTGCAGCGAGGTCCTCGCACGCCACAGAAGGAGGAGCATGCTGAGCGCAGTGATGCAGCAGCCTGCCGGGTCACAGAGTCCGAGCTGGAGTGGGGGGGGGTCACAGGGGCAGATGGAGGCACCACATGGAAGCCATGCATTCGGGGGGGGGGGGGCAAACCGACAGCCCACAGATGGAAAGGTGGGGCGTGTGGGAGAGGGAGGTGCAGGAGCGGGTGGGGGCTGGAATGTGGAGAAATCCTGCACTGTGCTGCCAAATACAAAACCACGCCAAATCACGCCGCTGACAATCCACACGCCGGTCAAAACTGCAGAGACTTAAATCAGAGCAATCTGGACTTTTCACTAAAAAAAACTCCTCCTACAATCAAACCAACAACCAATCAGATGTCTCAAATATTGCTGAGCTGGAGCGTATTGGAGCCGCCATCTGTCGTGGACCGCAGGTGAGCGAGGTTAGAGCCAACGCTCGGCGAGGAGCAGGGCGTGAAGCAGGGACGGTGAAGACGCTACAAAACCTTCAAATATATCTACACGTGTGTGTGTGTAGGGAATTAACCCACCCATCGAGTCCACACACGCCGTTTAGAAACATTGGCGAGGTTTCGGTAGAGAATTGTTGACAATGTTTTTGTGCGATTTAGACGGGGACGTCTGCATTAGTTGATCTTAAAAAACTATAATAATAATAATAATAATAATAATAATATCGGGCGTCTGGGACTTCAATCTGAGCTGCCGTGGTTTTTAAATCTCTTTCCTCAAACTCGCCGCTCTCTGGAGCAGACCTCACACACACTGTGTCCTAACAGCACGCCAGCGCCGCATCCATTAAATATTTACATCTTTGCTATTTCCAGTTTCCTCTTGTAAGCATAACATGTGGGGCTTTTATTTTGAAGGTGGCCAAACTGAAGTGGTTTATTAACTGAAGTCTCGTTAATAAACGGCGAGCTGAAGAAAGTTTTTCTTCGTGTTGACAGGTCAAAAGTCAGTTAATGATCTCCTCTCTGTAAAACAATCTAACTCTCTGAGATAGGAGGGTAAGTGCCTCGTAGAGTCGCCTGCTTCCTCGTTCCTCGACCTTCAACGCGAGCAGCATAGAGGAAAATAGAAACGTGACGTTAATATGGCACGCTGCGTGCTGTTAGAATAACCCTCTTATTATGTTATTTGCAAAAACAAACGCTGCTATTGGACGACTCTGATGAGACATTTGACGCTGTAACCGTCTGTTTCAAACCGGCCTGTTTCTACCCGTAAAAACTCATCAGCTTTTAAACTCTTTGTTCCTCTGTACGCACGCCATCGTCAGGACAGCACGCGTACACCTGCTTCTCTTAAACTCAAGTCCCCTCGCTCCCCGAGGGTCCCGGGACTCCCCTCGCTTCCCGAGGGTCCCGGGACTCCCCTTGCTCCCTCGCTTCCCGAGGGTCCCGGGACTCCCCTTGCTCCCCTCACTAGAACACTTTGCAAACTGAGGGTAGGTTGTAATAAAAATCATGCAAGTTTTGAGCATTTGCAAGTCTTTTCAGTTAACAGCTAAACGTTAACTACGTGCTGAATATTTAAACACACAGGAAGTAGCTTAGCATGTAGCCACTTTAGTTTGTGATCACAGATATTCAAACTAACAGAAGATCCATAAAGCTCATCCTCTTGCAGCGGCTCCACCAACATATTAAAGACTTTTCATACATGACGGTGACACACCTGAAGCACAGGTGGCACGGAGTCTAATCCCAGGCTGAGCTCTCGTCTGAGATTAGTTAACTGAAAAGACGTTTGCAAACACTTCTCCGTGCAAAATGACAAGACTGCAGACTGAGTCGAACTGAGCGGGCATTTGAAAGATTGGTACAAACCTTCAATGCAATTTTGACTCTTTTTATCTTTTTGACCTTTTCAACTGTCTTTTTGCCGATAAAAAAAAAGAAGTGAAAAAATAAAAAAAGAAGAAGCAGATTAGGAAAAACAAAAACAAAAAGGCGTTAAGAGTTGGACAGCTGACAAGATCACTGAATTCAGAACAGGCAGGTTATTTAGCATAACAGTGCAGAGAAATGATTGAAAAAGAGAGGGAGGTGGAGAAAGTCACCCTCAGTACATTAGAGCTTTAATGCATGCACTCAAAGAGGCCAGGAGGGGGGGGGGGGGTCACTTACCGGATTTAAAGTGTTACACTGATCTATGGGATTCTTGTAATCAGTCTTCAGCTCATCAAATGCTATTATCTGGGGGGACAAGACCATCACAGAGTTACTATGGACACACAGCAGTTTCTCATTTTCACAACAAATCTTTTCTAAACATAGTCAGCTTCCTGTCTCTTTCAAAATAAAATACAGACTTCTCCTAAAGTGAAGCTGCTCCATTGTCCCTTCTGGGCCTCCGTACATGTGTGGTGGTGACTGTGTCTGCAGAGACTCTGTCCTCTCACTGGATTTTACTGTTCTGCTTTGTGACGGTTGACTCGGTAGAGTGGTCTTCTCTCAACCGGAAGGTCAGGGGTTTGATTTCCTTCCTTCAGCCACATATGCAATGTTTCTTTGGCACGATACATAGAATGGATTCATTACTTTACACTGTTCACTTTTAGTAGTCACAACGAGACTAGAAAAGAACTCTGCAAGCTCAAGTCTATTGACCATTTCCGTCCTGCAGGGAGTGTGTGAACGCAGGGGGAGGGGCCAGTTTGAATGTAGAGTTTATAAGCTGATGCAGAGCTGGATAAACACTGAAGCTTCAGAGTCCACCACATGGTGACCTGAGTGAGCATCCACTATAGAGAGGAGGAGGGGGAGACAGCTCTTTACAGTGTTTAGAATTTAGACTGCAGTACCCATTTTAAACACTAGGGCAGAGTTACATACTGCTCCTTTAAATTCTATAATTCTCCCTTTTGTTGCGATAACAATAACATGATTTATTGTGCAGCCTAAAAGATTGCTGTGATTGATTTTTGCCAGATTTACTGTCACATTAAAAAGATCAAGTTAAATCTGTATTTCATGTCAGGTTCATTCCTTTAGTCTGATTTAACAGTTCTCTCTAACTGTACCAGCTGTGAGTCACGTCACTAAACGTTGTTCTGCTTTCACTGACGTTTTGACGTTTTTACGACAGGATGAATTGTTTTACGACAGGATGAATTGTTTTTACGACAGGATGAATTGTTTTTACGACAGGATGAATTGTGACACGTCGTTTAATAGGAGGAAACATCAGAGTTAACGTTAGCAGTGCATGCTAACAACGAGGCTAACTAGCTTAGCAGTTCAGTGAGACTACAAGTTAACAAACGTTCCGTGTTAGTGAAACACTTACAGAGATGAAACATTTGAATTAGTGTTTCATCTCCAGCTAACATTAGCCGTTTGGTTCGGACAAACTCGGGTGAGTAACGGAAAAACCCGAACCCCATCCCGAAGCTGGCCTAACGTTAGCCCGAGCCCGCCTCGTTCCCGCTCTCACGTCAATCAGCGGAGAACAAACATGTCTGACGTCATACTTACGTGCCAGATAGCGAAGAAGATGAGAGCCGCTGTGAGCAGCAGAGCCAACATGTAACAAAAGGCCGCGAATGTGAACGCCATGTTTTGAGAGTTCGCTCAGCTCGGGTCCTGCTGCTCAGCGGCTCCGGGCTCAGATTTGTGTCCTTCTTCTTCTGCAGTGACACTTCATCTGCGTGGCAGCCATAGTGCTGCATTACTGCCACCTTGTGGACTCTTTTCTTAGTGCAGGGTCGTTCAAAGAGACGTATGCTGCCTTCAATTGCTCCTCGAAAATATCGTATTTACGAGAATTAATCACATTTTGTGATGTTTATATCTGTAAATATTGTTCATATATTTAATTCCCTGTGCTTGTACATAGCTTATTATTCTTCAGATACTCTCACTTTGTTGGAAAAATATTTTATAACTCAGGACATCAAATGACTGAACTCTAATGATGACCTCTATGAGTTTTATTTTGATTTTATGGATGTTTTTATACGTTTCCTGCTGTGGCCTGATAAACTCCATGTGTCTGTCTCTCTACATGTTTATTATTTTCACCTGGCTGCTAAACTAATTTCCCCTCTGGGACAATTAATTTAAAATTATTCTATATTCCCTACTGCTGCTACATTGTGTTTAAGACCAACTGGTTATTAACCTCCCAGGTTAATAAATTCTTTCTGATTCTGATCCATGGTACTAATGGGTCACACGTCCGTATGAAACAGAAGAATCTAGAGAGCAGCGGGTTAAACATCACCGTCATTTTATTTGTTCAACAGGATAACAGACACTTTATAAAGTACGAGAAAATACAAATATGTCAAGTTTCACTGACGCTATGAGGCAGCTGCTTTTTCTTACAAAGGAATGAGAAGTTCTTAAAGACACACCGTCAGGTTAAAGAGGATTAAAATAGAACAGGAGGGTCATGGATCAGATCCACAGGATGCAACAGATCCAGCTGAACCCATCAGGACGAGAATCTGACGGTTAGAGGAGGAACAGAGGAGAGACACGTGCAGCTCGTTTTTTATTCACATATTTAAATCTCAAAGAATTCAACAGAAAGGCAGTCAGACTTCCTGTTTGTATTTAGTGTTAAAGGTGTTTTTTTAGGGTCGTTAAACTTTATGGTCAGTAGGTTCGGGTATTATTAACTCGTAAGTCTCGCCGCGGCGTCCCCGTCAATGATTCACGTCCAACATCAAAACACGACATGACAGGAAGGGATTGTGCGTACGAATCTCGTCAAGAAAATCTGTTTCCTTAATTTAATTTACCGACATTTGAAAAAGACAGAAACGGCGTCTGTTTGACTTCAAGTTCAAACAAAGTTAGTGTTTTAAAATCTCCTCTGTGTCGTGTTTCTTCTCTTTAAAGACTGAAACATTCATCATCACAAACAGCTGTTAATGCACCAAATGATCCAACAATCAGCACGACGCCGCTAACGGCGCCCTGTGTTTAAAAAACCGTCACGGAGGTCTGCGGTTTGAATGAACTGGAATGTTTCAGCACCGCGTCACGTGTTCGTGTGGAACGCTGCATTCACGTGCTGTCGGAATAATTAGAAGAATGAGTTTCTGTCTGGGAGAGTTTTGGTTTCCTTCCCACAGAACCCAGAAGTGATTTTAAACTTTGACATTTCTCAAACGTGTCTCTGTAAAAGGACCTGCTGAAGTTCTGAAACATGAAATATATTTTAATATCGTGTTCACTCGTAATAACCACGAAGAGACCGCCACGTGAATGCAGCGCTGGTCGTGCAGGTCGTAGTGTTGGAGAGATTGATTCAGCAGTTTAACAAACGTAGAATTCAAAACCTTTAAGGAGAGACTGATGCTCGTTTGGTCTCTGGACTGCAGCAGGTTCGACTGACAGGAAAGATTTATTTACATGAAACTACAAACAGCAGAAACTATCAGAACTACAAAAAAGAGAGAGAGGAAGAGTTGATACCACAGACTGGACAGAGATGGATAGAGATGGACGACATGACATCCTCAAAGTGAAGCCAAAACATTCAGAGCTCCCCCTGCTGACTGGCTGCAGTACAGCTCATAAGCTCCGCCTCCTCCATGTTACCAGATGAGACATGAGTCATACGGTTTCTGTCGTTATATTTCTCATTACGCTGAGTGACAAGTTTAGTTTTGATTCATGATATATAAAGGAGTGATTGACAGCTCTGTCGACCAATGAGGCTCCTGTGTCACTGTGCAGATTATCAGAGGAAACGTAACGAACACAGGAGTCCTATAGCGATGATTGTCTGTTCTGGACTGACCCCACCTGAGCGACCTTTGACCTTAAAAAGAATGTTTAATTAGCACTCTAAGAGGAAGGGGCGGGGCATCAGTAACGTGCCGCAGACTCTGACATGTCAGCGGCCATTAGGTCGTTTTGGCTTCACTTTGGACACTCGTCGTCCATCTTTCTACACGCTCAGTGGTCAAACGCGTCCTGAATGGCGATGCGGAGGAAGGCCGATGAGTTCCATCTCTTCTATCGCCGTTAAAGTTACGGAGTGTTAATGGAACAAAGACACGTTACTGGCACATGGAACAGACCGGAGGTCAGTTTTAGGCGGGCGGATGGGCGGGGTTTGGTACGCACAGACGTTCTGAACAGGAAGTTACCGAGGTCAACCAGCAGACGCCTAAAACTGAGCACAGGACTGTTTGATGGATCAGGGCAGAAAGAGGAGGGGACATTAAGGGTGGCGTGCTCTCCCAAAGACGAGACACGATCTGGATCCTCCTCACGTCCCAGACCCACAGGGGGGGTGGGGGGGGGGGGGGCCTTTAGCCGAAGAAGCCGAGTCTCTCTCGGAGCCAGTCCTCCGTCAGGTCCTCAGTGGCTCGGATCTCAAACACCTTCAAGAAAAGAGATTCATGTGAAGATAAACGCCACCTGATCACGCCGTCTGCACGCTTCTTCTTTTACTGAACAACAACTCTGATTATATTTGGAACAAAGACTGGAGGACTCTGTGTGTCCCAAACAACACCAAGAAGATCACAAACGCCTCACTCACCTTTGACAGCTGAGCAGCTTTTACCAGGACCTGTCTACTTCCTGCGTACATCATCTGCAGCTCCATTTTGCAACCTACACACACACACACACATGCGCTGTCACAAACCGCTCGGCCTGATCCAATAAGAACGCAGTACGCCCGCTAACAGCCCCCCTGTGCAGGAACAGCCTCAAAGTGTTTACAGGTATCTCACCTGCTGGACTGGAGAAGATGAAGCAGAGGGGATAGGACACCCGGCCGTCGTCGTGCTGGTACTTGTAGCTGTAGACGATGAACGTTGGCGGCGTTAAGGAGCGTTCACACACGTCACACTCAGAACAGACGACAGAGAAACTTTAAACTGAAAGGATATCTGGGCTGTCTCTCTGGCAGCTCTTCTTTCAGGTCGTCAGGAGAAATGTCCTGAAAATAAAGAAACACATCAAACATTCAGAGTCTGTTCTAGGGTCAGAGGTCGCTGGTAGATCTGAAACGTCAGAGGACTGACCTCATGCTCCTCATCGAGAACCACCAGCTGTCGCTCTTTATCAATCTTCACTGAAGACACAAACAGTAACAGTTACTCAACAGCCAATCAGAGAGCCGGGCATCACCTGACCTCATGCAGCTCGTTCCTGATCCTGATCTTTACAACATGTTTGTAACGTTCAGAGAGCGAGTACTCACTGATGATGGCGGCGTTGTTGGTCTCCTTACGGAAACGGAAAGCCTTCAGCTTCTTGATGAGCTCTTCATCCACGTCACACACCACCAGTGATTCACTCTGCAGAACAAACAGCTGTTGATCTGAAGAATCACTGTGTAGCGGCGTTCCTGAATATGAGGTTGGGCCTAATATATTTGTCCGACGCGCTTTCAAAAGAATACTGTGATCCGTAAAAATAAGTTTGACTTTTTTATTAACGTAAAAAAGATAATCAACTTAACTTATAATAACGTGCATTAACTCATAATCACAGTGAGCCAGAAACAATAGCGGTCAACAAAAAATACGGCCACCCCACTCACCCCCTCTCTTCCACTGAGAACAAAAGGTGAACAGGTGAGTTAAATCAACACATCTCCGCCCATACCCATGTGACCCGACATCCCCTCACTCAACACAATCCTAATAAATGATATAATAATCAATAACCCAAAACACCAATATATAACAGACTACCTTAACCTTAAATAAATAGCACAAAGACAATTACACCAATCGATGGCTCCAACACACGGTGTCTTCCTCAGAGTCAGTACAAAGCCCTCCTCCTCACAGAGTCCTCTCTGATTGGTTGATAAGCAGACCCCGTTAACCAATACGGTGACAGCACTTTTGTTACTGATGCCTCATTTCTATCTTTTTAGATTGTAGATTGTAAATATGACCAGAAGAAGTCTGAGTGTTGTTCCTGTCTGTCCCTGCAGGGGGCGCTGGAGTCTCATCAATGGCGCCCCCCGTCTGTCCCTGCAGGGGGCGCTGGAGTCCCATCAATGGCGCCCCCCGTCTGTTCCTGCAGGGGGCGCTGGAGTCTCATCGATGGCGCCCCCCGTCTGTTCCTGCAGGGGGCGCTGGAGTCTCATCGATGGCGCCCCCCGTCTGTTCCTGCAGGGGGCGCTGGAGTCCCATCGATGGCGGTCTCCATGTTGGAAATGCTGTCTCAGTCTAACTTTCAGTCAACCTAACGACAGGCTGAGAGCTGGAGCTGAGGCGGGTTTTAAACCTCCTGACAAACCGTTACACCGCGCCCACCTGTCAATCAGGTCAGCTACACGCCTTATTGTGAATAACTGTTAGCTAACTAACAGCTAACTGTTAGCTAACTGTCATCGAACTAACAGCTAACTGTTAGCTAACTGTCAGCGAACTGTCATCGAACTAACAGCTAACTGTTAGCTAACTGTCAGCGAACTAACAGCTGACTAACAGCTAACTGTCAGCTAACTGTCAGCGAACTAACAGCTAACTAACAGCTAACTGTCAGCTAACTGTCAGCGAACTGTCAGCGAACTAACAGCTGACTAACAGCTAACTGTCAGCTAACTGTCAGCGAACTAACAGCTGACTAACAGCTAACTGTCAGCGAACTGTCAGCGAACTAACAGCTAACTAACAGCTAACTGTCAGCTAACTGTCAGCGAACTGTCAGCGAACTAACAGCTGACTAACAGCTAACTGTCAGCGAACTGTCAGCGAACTAACAGCTAACTAACAGCTAACTGTCAGCTAACTGTCAGCGAACTGTCAGCGAACTAACAGCTAACTAACAGCTAACTGTCAGCTAACTGTCAGCTAACTGTCAGCGAACTAACAGCTAACTAACAGCTAACTAACAGCTAACTGTCAGCGAACTGTCAGCGAACTAACAGCTGATTAACAGCTAACTGTCAGCTAACTGTCAGCGAACTAACAGCTGACTAACAGCTAACTGTCAGCGAACTGTCAGCGAACTAACAGCTAACTAACAGCTAACTGTCAGCTAACTGTCAGCGAACTAACAGCTAACTAACAGCTAACTGTTAGCGAACTGTCAGCGAACTAACAGCTGACTGTCAGCTGACTAACAGCTAACTAACAGCTAACTGTCAGCTAACTGTCAGCGAACTAACAGCTGACTAACAGCTAACTGTCAGCGAACTGTCAGCGAACTAACAGCTGACTAACAGCTAACTGTCAGCGAACTGTCAGCGAACTAACAGCTGACTAACAGCTGACTGTCAGCGAACTGTCAGCGAACTAACAGCTGACTAACAGCTAACTGTCAGCGAACTGTCAGCGAACTAACAGCTAACTAACAGCTAACTGTTAGCTAACTGTCAGCGAACTGTCAGCGAACTAACAGCTGACTGTCAGCTGACTAACAGCTAACTAACAGCTAACTGTCAGCTAACTGTCAGCGAACTAACAGCTTACTAACAGCTGACTGTCAGCTGACTAACAGCTAACTAACAGCTAACTAACAGCTAACTGTCAGCTAACTAACAGCTGACTAACAGCTGACTGTCAGCTGACTAACAGCTAACTAACAGCTAACTAACAGCTAACTGTCAGCTGACTAACAGCTAACTAACAGCTAACTGTCAGCTGACTAACAGCTAACTAACAGCTAACTAACAGCTAACTGTCAGCTAACTAACAGCTAACTGTCAGCTGACTAACAGCTAACTAACAGCTAACTGTCAGCTGACTAATAGCTAACTGTCAGCTAACTAACAGCTAACTGTCAGCTGACTAACAGCTAACTGTCAGCTAACTAACAGCTAACTGTCAGCTAACTGTCAGCGAACTAACAGCTTACTAACAGCTGACTGTCAGCTGACTAACAGCGAACTAACAGCTGATTAACAGCTAACTGTCAGCGAACTGTCAGCGAACTAACAGCTGACTAACAGCTAACTGTCAGCGAACTGTCAGCGAACTAACAGCTGACTAACAGCTAACTGTCAGCGAACTGTCAGCGAACTGTCAGCGAACTAACAGCTGACTGTCAGCTGACTAACAGCTAACTAACAGCTAACTGTCAGCTAACTGTCAGCGAACTAACAGCTTACTAACAGCTGACTGTCAGCTGACTAACAGCTAACTAACAGCTAACTAACAGCTAACTGTCAGCTAACTAACAGCTGACTAACAGCTGACTGTCAGCTGACTAACAGCTAACTAACAGCTAACTAACAGCTAACTGTCAGCTGACTAACAGCTAACTAACAGCTAACTGTCAGCTGACTAACAGCTAACTGTCAGCTAACTAACAGCTAACTGTCAGCTAACTAACAGCTAACTGTCAGCTGACTAACAGCTAACTAACAGCTAACTGTCAGCTGACTAATAGCTAACTGTCAGCTAACTAACAGCTAACTGTCAGCTGACTAACAGCTAACTAACAGCTAACTGTCAGCTGACTAACAGCTAACTGTCAGCTAACTAACAGCTAACTGTTAGCTAACTGTCAGCTAACTGTTAGCTAACTGTCATCGAACTAACAGCTAACTGTTAGCTAACTGTTAGCTAACTGTCAGCTAACTGTTAGCTAACTGTCATCGAACTAACAGCTAACTGTCAGCTAACTGTTAGCGAACTGTCATCGAACTAACAGCTAACTGTTAGCTAACTGTCAGCTAACTGTTAGCTAACTGTCAGCGAACTGTCATCGAACTAACAGCTGACTGTTAGCTAACTGTCAGCTAACTGTTAGCTAACTGTCAGCTAACTGTTAGCTAACTGTCAGCGAACTGTCATCGAACTAACAGCTAACTGTCAGCGAACTAACAGCTAACTGTCAGCGAACTAACAGCTAACTGTCTCAGTGAACTAACAGCTAACTGTCTCAGTGAACTAACAGCTAACTGTCTCAGTGAACTAACAGCTAACTGTCAGTGAACTAACAGCTAACTGTCTCAGTGAACTAACAGCTAACTGTCTCAGTGAACTAACAGCTAACTGTCAGCGAACTAACAGCTAACTGTCTCAGTGAACTAACAGCTAACTGTCTCAGTGAACTAACAGCTAACTGTCAGCGAACTAACAGCTAACTGTCTCAGTGAACTAACAGCTAACTGTCTCAGTGAACTAACAGCTAACTGTCTCAGTGAACTAACAGCTAACTGTCAGTGAACTAACAGCTAACTGTCTCAGTGAACTAACAGCTAACTTTCTCAGTGAACTAACAGCTGACTGTCTCAGTGAACTAACAGCTAACTGTCAGCGAACTAACAGCTAACTGTCAGCGAACTAACAGCTAACTGTCTCAGTGAACTAACAGCTAACTGTCTCAGTGAACTAACAGCTAACTGTCAGCGAACTAACAGCTAACTGTCTCAGTGAACTAACAGCTGACTGTCAGCTGACTAACAGCTAACTGTCTCAGTGAACTAACAGCTGACTGTCAGCTGACTAACAGCTAACTGTCTCAGTGAACTAACAGCTGACTAACAGCTGACTGTCTCAGTGAACTAACAGCTAACTGTCTCAGTGAACTAACAGCTGACTGTCTCAGTGAACTAACAGCTAACTGTCTCAGTGAACTAACAGCTGACTGTCTCAGTGAACTAACAGCTAACTGTCTCAGTGAACTAACAGCTAACTGTCTCAGTGAACTAACAGCTAACTGTCAGCGAACTAACAGCTAACTGTCTCAGTGAACTAACAGCTGACTGTCAGCTGACTAACAGCTAACTGTCTCAGTGAACTAACAGCTGACTGTCAGCTGACTAACAGCTAACTGTCTCAGTGAACTAACAGCTGACTAACAGCCGACTAAGAGCTAACTGTCAGCGAACTAAAAGCTAACTAACAGCTAACTAACAGCTAACTGTCAGCGAACTAACAGCGAACTAACAGCTAACTAACAGCTAACTGTCAGCTAACTAACAGCTAACTGTTAGCTAACTGTCAGCGAACTGTCAGCGAACTAACAGCTAACTGTCAGCGAACTAACAGCTAACTAACAGCTAACTGTTAGCTAACTGTCAGCGAACTGTCATCGAACTAACAGCTAACTGTCAGCGAACTAACAGCTAACTAACAGCTAACTGTCATCGAACTAACAGCTAACTGTCATCGAACTAACAGCTAACTGTCATCGAACTAACAGCTAACTGTCATCGAACTAACAGCTAACTGTCAGCGAACTAACAGCTAACTAACAGCTAACTAACAGCTAACTGTCAGCGAACTAACAGCTAACTGTCAGCAAACTAACAGCTAACTAACAGCTAACTGTTAGCGAACTAACAGCTAACTGTTAGCTAACTGTTAGCTAACTGTCAGCGAACTAACAGCTAACTAACAGCTAACTGTCAGCTGACTAACAGCTAACTGTCAGCTGACTAACAGCTAACTAACAGCTGACTGTCAGCTGACTAACAGCTAACTAACAGCTGACTGTCAGCTAACTAACAGCTAACTGTCAGCTGACTAACAGCTAACTAACAGCTGACTGTCAGCTGACTAACAGCTAACTAACAGCTGACTAACAGCTAACTAACAGCTAACTGTCAGCTGACTAACAGCTTACTAACAGCTGACTGTCAGCTAACTAACAGCTTACTAACAGCTGACTGTCAGCTGACTAACAGCTAACTAACAGCTGACTGTCAGCTAACTAACAGCTAACTGTCAGCTAACTAACAGCTAACTAACAGCTGACTGTCAGCTAACTATCAGCTAACTAACAGCTGACTAACAGCTAACTAACAGCTAACTAACAGCTAACTGTCAGCTAACTAACAGCTAACTAACAGCTAACTGTCAGCTAACTAACAGCTAACTAACAGCTAACTAACAGCTAACTGTCAGCGAACTAACAGCTAACTAACAGCTAACTGTCAGCGAACTGTCATCGAACTAACAGCTGACTGTCAGCTGACTAACAGCTGACTAACAGCTGACTGTCAGCTGACTAACAGCTAACTAACAGCTGACTGTCAGCTAACTAACAGCTGACTAACAGCTGACTGTCAGCTGACTAACAGCTGACTAACAGCTAACTGTCAGCTAACTAACAGCTAACTGTCAGCTGACTATCAGCTGACTAACAGCTGACTGTCAGCTGACTAACAGCTAACTAACATCTAACTAACATCTAACTAACAGCTAACTGTCAGCTAACTAACAGCTAACTGTCAGCTAACTAACAGCTAACTGTCAGCGAACTAACAGCTAACTAACAGCTAACTGTCAGCTAACTGTCAGCTAACTAACAGCTAACTAACAGCTAACTAACAGCTAACTAACAGCTAACTGTCAGCGAACTGTCATCGAACTAACAGCTGACTGTCAGCTGACTAACAGCTGACTAACAGCTGACTGTCAGCTGACTAACAGCTAACTAACAGCTGACTGTCAGCTAACTAACAGCTGACTAACAGCTGACTGTCAGCTGACTAACAGCTGACTAACAGCTAACTGTCAGCTAACTAACAGCTAACTTTCAGCTGACTATCAGCTGACTAACAGCTGACTGTCAGCTGACTAACAGCTAACTAACATCTAACTAACATCTAACTAACAGCTAACTGTCAGCTAACTAACAGCTAACTGTCAGCTAACTAACAGCTAACTGTCAGCGAACTAACAGCTAACTAACAGCTAACTGTCAGCTAACTGTCAGCTAACTAACAGCTAACTAACAGCTAACTAACAGCTAACTGTCAGCTAACTGTCAGCTAACTAACAGCTAACTAACAGCTAACTAACAGCTGACAGAAAGCCTAGTAGCAGTAAATGAGCTAAAGGAAATCAGACTGTAAACTTTAACTTTCTGGTTATTTAGCACATTAAAGGTTTTATAAATGAAGCACTAAGTTTCATCTAAAGTTTGACAAACAGTAAAATCTCAAGGGAACATTCATTATGTTCAGACATGTTGGAACACACACACACACACACACACACACACACACACACACACACACACACACACACACACACACACACACACACACACACACACACACACACACACACACACACACACACACTAAAGTTTTTCAGAAATGTTTATCAAACTGGGAAATCTTTTATAAAAACAGGGAACTATTATTCCATATTAAGTATCAAAGTAAGTAAAAGTAAAACAGTCGGTATGAAAGTTTCCCTACATGCAGATGATCCTGAACGCATCAGATGATCCTGAACGCATCAGATGATCCTGAACGCATCAGATGAGTTGAGTACATTCCTAGCTATGTCCGTAGTTTTAATCTGAAACAGACAACCGGAAAACCACACCCTTCCCTTCCGGCTTATTTGACAGAACGATACAACAAAGCTAGCAGGCTAACGCTAGCCAATCAGCTGCGTCTATTTCCTGATCAGTCGGTTAAACTTCACATCACGTGATCGGCTCACGATCAAAGAGCGGCTCAAAGATGGCGGCCGCTGTCACAGAGAGACTCACCATCGTTGTAGAGTTTTAAAGAATCTTCCTGAAGCTGCTGCTGCTCTCACTGTTCAGACGCTTCTATGTTATTTTTTATACTTCACGTCATCATGTGACTGTTCTAACCAATCACAGACAAGCAGCGAGCTTCTTCTTCTGTTCAGTTCAATGGTATGCATAGGTAGTTCATTACAGCCCCCTAGTGGACGTTCACAGTAAGACAGCGAGAGAAATCTACTTCATATGACGAGTAGGAAAAGAAATGTCATATTTAATATTTAATATTTAATATTTAATATTTAATATTCAATATTTAATATTTAATATTTAATATTTAATAGAGAGGACTATGTCTACATGTTGGCAGCAAACAGAGAAGAGGTCAAGGAGAATATTATAAATATAAACACACCTGTTGTATTATTTATTATTTTACCCTCTTTGTTTATTTTTTTTTCTTTGACTTTTATAAACAATAAGAACTTTATGTAACTAGTTTTGATTGGGGTGTGTGTTTATGTGTTTGGTGTTTATGTGTGCGTGTTTCCGGAACGCGCCCCACTCTTCACAATACGTCATTCTCGAGGCGCGTGATCGCTGCGTTCACGTGCTACCTCGATGCACGGATTTCACAAGTTCGAAAGTCTTCCGCCCTCAGGGTGTTTTTATTCTTAATATGGAAAAAAAATCAGTGCAGTAAAAATACGATTTTTGATCATGTATGAACTTAGATCTGAAGTTAGATCACTTTTCGTGGACAGCATCTACTGATAACATCATAACAACATGAATCCAAAGACATCTTTGGTCTGTGAACTTTCTGAGGCGTATTTCTACCGAAGAGGATAAGGGCCAAACATGAGCATTACATAAAAAGAGGAGGAACATTTTCTTTCCATCATTCACGTTAAGAAAATAGTCAAAATGTCAAAAATTAAAAGTTGAAATGTCGAGAATAAAATGAAAATGTATTTCAACGTTATTCTCGACATTTCGACTCATTTCATGAAGTGCATTAAATATAAAAAAACCCATCTACCTATGATTATTTATTTATAATTTTTGGCCCTAATCCTCTTCCGTATCCTGACCTGTCTGATTTTCCTTTTTCCGATTATTCCGCCAACACATGAACGCAGCTCGTGTACGCAGCTTCCTGTAGTCGTGAGAGCTTGTAGTTCTATTCCTCAGCAGGCTTAATTAGCTGGCTAAGTTTCCTCCACAGCTGGATTCAGATCTCTGAGGATTTCTTCTTCTTCTTCTTTTGGCGAGGTGACATGGCGGATATGTTTTGACTTCTAAATGTTTTTATGAAAGGCCCGCGAAAAGACGAGCTAACCTTCTGAACGTTAACTTACAGCTAGCAGCAGTTAGCTCGCTCTTTTAGCCTCAGATGTAGCTTCAGTGTTTAAACTCTGATTTGAGCTTCAGTCAGTCAGTGAGTTCGGTTGAGTTCGGTTGTGTTCGGTTGTGTTCGGTGTGTGGAGGTTATCTTTC